CTGCCACACAGGCCTTGGGCCCTAGGACTATCTAAGAGTTCATGGCTTAGAGGGGAGGAGAAGGTCTTAACAAGATCGGAACTAGCTTTGCCCTCAGCCAATCTACTCCTCAGGCTTCAGTATTCCTCTCTGTTAAATGAGCTGCTGCTACTGCCATTCTGTCCTCCTCCTAGGGCTTCCCCGCTGCTAACTCAGCCTCCTGACAGTCTCTGGGTGTAGGTTATGTTGTCTGTTGAGTGACAGCAGGTCACAACTTCTTGGCTGCAAAAATCCACAGGCTCTGGAAATATCCAGTCCTCCCCCATCCCACCCCCAAGCTTCACGCTTCAGTTCTTCCCTCTTCCTACTTCTTCATTCCAAGGAGGTGCTGGTGTGACCACTTGTTGGGGGAGGCGGGGAGTAGGGCTGAGGAAGGAGATGTGGAGAACAGACAGACACCTGGTTTCCCTGTCCCAGAAGGGAAGGAGAGGACTTACCAGGTCAGCCTGCAGAGGAGCTTTTGGAAATCCTGCCTGTTCCGCCCATCACTGCCTCTTGTCCCATGTGGCTCCCTGCCCAGAATTGTGCTCACCCAGCATCACAAACACGGCTTTGTGTTCTTGAGACAAAGAACAGCTCCTCACCCCAACCTGGCCCGGAGTTGTCTGCCCTGCCTAGATCATGGCCTCAGAAGAGATGTTGCCCATTTCCCAGAAAGGGAAACTGAGGTCTAGAGATGAGTAGTTCTGTGAATGGAGTCGGGCCTTGTGGATTTGCGGTAGATATGTAGAGGGAGGTAAGTTGGCATAACTTGAGTTCCCATACTAGACACTGTGTGGGGAGAGGAAGGGAAAAAGAATGCCCTATCATAACAAGGAGAGTAGCCAGATTCCAGTCCTCGAGGGGAACTGATTTCAATTTCACCCAGCAAGTGTGTGTTTCCTTTTACTGATGTGCCAAGCAGTGTGGGAGGCTTGGAATGAATCAGACATTGTCCCTGACATTTAAGAGATAAGACGAGCATGTAAATCACCACAAAACAAGGGAACAAGACACCAAGGTCACAGAGAGGGGCCAAACAAGTAAGAAGCAGTGAGTGTGCTGAGGGGAAGGGGTGGTTGTCCATGTCTTCCCCGCACATCTATGAGGACTTCCCCGCAGCCAAGAACAGACCTGTTGGGAAGGCTGGGCACAAGCTGGTAGGAGCAGACTATAGCATCCCCCTGCCCACACTCCAGATCCTATCTCCTCCTGTCTGTGAGCCCTGCCTGGGCCCCAGGCTAGCAACTGTGAGCTAGGTGGTCTCAGCAAGTCTCTATGCCAGGAACAATACCAGGTGCCTTGAGATCACCCCTTTGAGAACAGAAAGGCTCTTCCTACATGGGCACTCATAGGGGTACCTTCTCCGTCTCCTAGTGGATGACCCCAGCAGACTACACCCCTCTCTGGGCTGTCCTTGCCCTTCTGGCCCCTCATTGGGGGGGCTGCCTTAAAAGACCCCAGCCCTCTGCAAGTTTCAGGCCAAAGCTTTTCTGAACAACAGGAAGTGGTCAGGCCATGCGTAAAATATGGAGCATGTGGCCACAGCCCCAGGCAAACAGCAGCGGGGTCAGGCACCGGATATTTGGCAGGTGACAGAGCTGGCTCCTGGGAGGCTGGGCGGACGCAGTTGATAACCTTGATAATTCCCAGTGGGGAGGGGTGTTTGGGAATGTGACTTCCTGTTCAGCTCTGAGATGGTTGGGTGGCAGTTTGGCATCCCAGGGGACCCCACAACTAGGCCCCAGGTTCCATCAGGCCCTGAGGCTGGGTGGTTGGCTGGATTTCCTGAAGCCATTGCAAGCTCCCAGAAGAAACAGGTTCAGCCAGCAGCCCCTACCTAGGTTAGAAAGGTAGGCCAGGATACCTGTCTAGAAACCACAGCTACATAGCAAGTACCATCTCCCTCTTAATTTGTACATTCACTTTGGGGCAATCTGGTAGCGTAGTGGTTGCGAATCAGGCTATGAACCACAAGGTCAGCAGTTTGAAACTACCAGCTGTTCCGCAGGAGAAAGATGGGCGTTTTGCTCCCATAAAGATTACAGCCTTGGAAACTCTGTACAGAGTCGCTATGAGTCGGAACCGACTCCACGGCACACAGCAGCAGCAGCAGCAGGTAGACAGATAAAAATTACTGGGGTTTGTTGTTGTTGTTGTTAAGTGTTGTCAAATTGATTCGACTCATAGTGACCCTGTATAGGGTTTCTGAAGAATGGCTGGTGGGTTTGAACACTAAGCTTGTGGTTAGCAGTCCAGTGCTTATCCTACAGCACCATACCAGGAGTTCATTACTGGGGTGTTCTTAAATGCCATTGAGTCGGTTCCAACTCCAAGCGACCTGTATAGGGTTTCTAAGGAGCGGCTAGTGAATTTGAACCGCTGACCTTGAGGTTAGTTGTTGTTATGTGCTGTGGAGTCGGTTCCAACTTTTAGCGACCCTGTACAAGGTTTCCAAGGCTGTAAATCTTTACGGGAGCTGAACGCCTCATCTTTCTCCCGCGGAACAGCTGGTAGTTTCAAAGTGCGACCCTGAGGTTAGCAGCCCGATTCGTACCCACTATGCTACCAGAGCTCCTTTGAGGTTAGTAGTCCAGTGCTTTTTCTGCAGTGCTACACCAGGAGTCTGTTACTGTGGTGGTGTTGCTAAATGCTGTTGAGTCGGTTCCGACTCATAGTAACCGTGTATAGGGTTTCCGAGGCTTTAAATCTTGGAGGGAACAGAAAGAAAGCCTCATCTTTCTCCTGCAGAGCGGCTGGTGGGCTCGAACCGCAAACCTTGCGGTTCATAGTCCAGTGCTTATCGGTAGAGCCACCGTGCTCCCCATTGCTGGAGTGTTGTTGTTCTTAAATGCCGTCCAGCTGGTTTTGACTCATAGTGACCCAGTATAGGGTTTCCTAGGAGCTGCTGGTGAGTTTGAACTGCCGACCTTGCAGTTCAAGCCAACCTTGTGGGCGAGTGCTTATCCTACAGCATCACACCACTATTTCTTTTATTGGGGTAGGGGGAAGATTTTTAACAGCCTGTTGGGGCCAACACTATTCTAGGTGCAACATTGGATCACTCCTTAGCCCCTACTGAAGGATGTGGAATGCCTACCCTACTAAACCTATTTCCCAGATGGGAAAATTGAGGCCCAGGTCTCTGCAGGCCCCAGGCCACACCAGGCAGCAGGGAGCCTGAGAGAGCATGTCAAGGTTTTGAATCCCTCACCAGCCAAGTGGGAGGTGGGAAAGCAGGAGCTGAGACTGGGCAGGGTGTGCCTGGCCCCACCGGTCTGGGTGTTGGCTCCTTTATTCATTTGACAGCAGGTAGGCCTTCCTGCTGCTGGTGCCCAGCCCTGGGCTGACCCAAATGATTACACTCTGTACCAGTCCTTCTAAGAGCCCTCAGACAGCAAACAATGAACTCAAGGGAAGAAATAAGTGTGTACAAGTGTCCACCCTGAGACAGGCCCTTCTGGTCACGTCATTTCATTTTTAAAACTTGGGAATGCACCTACAAACAGCTGTGGGAGCAGAGCAAAGGAGGGAAACCTCTGTTCATGGCAGGAGACATCTTGGAAAGCTCCCCAGAAGAGGCAGTGTTTGAGCTGTGCCTCAAAAGACAATATCAAACCCTTTCTGAGAACTTCTTAGCTGCTGGTCACTTTTCTGAGACCTTAATTTGCGTTATTTCACTAAATTCACTCAGAATCCAGCGGTTTAGAAGCTATATGGTCCCCATGTTGTTGTTTTGTTAAGTGCGGTGGAGTCAGTTCCAACTCAAAGTGACCCGGTTTCCGAGGTTATAAGTCTTTATGGGAATCAAAAGTCGCATCTTTCTCCCATGGAGTAACTGGTGGGATTGAACTGCTAATCTTGTGATTGGCAGTCCAGTGCTTATCCTACAGCGTCACACCAGGATACCAAGTGATCTCCATGGGGCAGATGACAAACCCAAACCAAGGCCCAGAAAGGTTAAGTGACTTGTCCAAGACCACACAGCTACCAAGTGATGGAGTCAAGATTCAAACGCAGAAAGTCAAAACAATTAGCTGTGAGACCTGACAAGTTATTTAATACCTCCGGAACTTCAGTTTCTCCCGCCACAAAATGGGGGGAATAGTATTTAGCCCACAGGGTTATTGTGAGAACGAAATGAGATCATCATTGTAAAGCACTTAAAACAGTGCCTAGCACACAGTAACGTCTGAACAACGTAAGTGTCTTGTCAGACTTTTACCTTCCCTGTCCTGGTAGCTATCTTCAAACTTCCCCTCCCCCTCAGACCGCGGTTTCCGTCCCCGTAGTGCCAGCCCGTGACGTTAGATCCCCCCCTCTCACAGTCTAGACTTAACTGGAAACTAAAAGATGGAAGCGGGTGTTCGAGGCCTCTCTCTTGACCCCGAACGGACCCCCAGGGAATGTGCTACTCTCTAGCGCCTCCTCTCGTCGCCAACGGAGCCTGTTCCGCGCACGTCCTACCCGGGAGGTGGCGTGGGATGGGAGGCACGGCAGGGCGCGGGAGAGGTAAAGGGGTAGCGGAGAAGAAGCGCAGATAGCTGGCAGACCGCTTTCTGAGCCCAATTCCGATACTCCCGGAGCCAGCCGCCACGCCCATCTAGATCGCGAGCCTCACACTCCTGGGGCTCCGCGGCTGGTGAGCCTGGGCGCGCTGGACTGGGGTGCCGGCAGAGGGCGCGCGAGGAGGACCGGGGGCGGGCGGGGGACCCTGCGGGAGGCGGGATTAGGAGGAGGACTGTGGCCTCCTCCTCCTGCCTGCCCGCCAGGAGCCGGTGATGCCCCCGAGTACTTCGCCTGCTCGGCACCTTGCTCCTACCTGTAGAGTCCTTGCGAGTGCCCCTTCCTGGGGCACCTGTCCATCCCCAGCCTTCGGAAATCTCTCGGATGGGCGGCGCTGGGACCCCGGGGCAGGGCTTCAGGGTCGCAGCTGGTGACATGTAAACGCTCCTGGGTCCAGTCTCGGAACCTGAGCTCCCTCCTGCCTGGAAAGTTTGGGGTTGGGCGCCATGGCCAAGAGCAGCTCCCTGAATGTCCGCGTGGTGGAGGGCCGCGCGCTGCCCGCCAAGGACGTGTGAGTACCCCGGGGCTCGCCAGGGGTGAGAGGCGCGCTGGGCATGGGTGGGAGGAGAGGCGGGAGTGTCTGGGTCGGCTCTGAACCTGGGTATCGGGGCAAGTCCGCGTGTGATGGGGGAGGGGGGCGAAAGTCCATGCCATCGTTGTCCTGAGGTAGGGGGCGCCCACACTTGCAGATGCTCCCCACTCCGCAGAGGAAGTGGGGCTAGTCTTTGCTCTCAGATACATTGAAGGGCGGCGTCTTCCAGAGCTAAAGAAGGGACCACACTGTTAGATTCTGTTAGAGCTGGGCAAGGGGTGAGGGAGACCTGCTTTAGTCCAAGCGGATGATGAAAATGGGGATTCCTCTGGGCTAGAAGGGAGCTTATCAGCTGAACACTGGAAAGGGGCCTTAGAGGACCGGGATTCATGTGGGCCCAATATTTCTGTGTGTGTCTGGTGTTTCTATTTGAAGAGTGTCACCAGGTGGCAGGCCAGCCAGGCCTGGGGGACCCTGGGATCTTATTGACCCAGAGCCTGAATCTGGGGCTCCCAGAAGCTGTTCCCTGATGCTAAACTGCTAAAAGACCCAACTCCCCCTTGTAACCTCTCCCCAGGGAGGTATGATGAGGTTGAGGCCAGGATCCCGGGCTGTGCACCCCCTTCCCGGAGCCTGCAGTTACCCAACCAGCAGAATTAAGGGTGTCCGTCCCTGTTTGATCTGGAGCCCAGAAGGGGCTCTGAGAGTGTCAGCACTTGGCAGGACATTGGTTGTGTGACCTTGGACTTGTTAATTTCTGGACCTTGGTTTCCCTTCTGGGCCCTCTAGGCAGGAGTCTCTAGCTCCCCTACAACTGTGAGGCCTAGAGTCTTGTTAGGCTGAGCAGGAACATGGAGCCTTTCTCTGGTTGGAGTATGGTTTGGTGGTGACCTGACCTCCAGGTGTGCCCTGCTGACTCCCTTCAAGGGGAGCATCCTGCTTTTGATTTCATGGCCCCGCAATACTGAAAATGTATTGGGGGTGCTGCTTAGAGCATCTTCACCAGTCACCTCAAATAGTCATGCACCTGGAATAGGAACAGTGTTTGCTTCAAGAATGTGGCATCTGGAGAAGTCCCCTTCCACCCAATTTCTGAGACATTCCCCAGAATCAGAAGCCCTGAAACTTGCAGGGCAGTGAGGCCGGAGTGAGGGGGCCTCTCCCAGAAACTATACTTACCTCCCAGCCCTGAAGCCATGAGGATGGGACGCTGGTTTCTGGGGTTTCCTCAACTTCGGCTTGGTTTCTATACCTCTTGCCTTCCCCTGCTCACCCCTGCTCAGCTTCTGGGCCAAAGGAAGCTCTGAGGGGGCCTAACCCCGGAACAAGGCAGGTTACAGGTCACTAAGCTGAGATGCTAGCTACCTGCTTCAGTTTTTTAGCTGTTGGCTTCCTTCTTTAAAGGACTCTCCTCAGAACGTGCTGGGATCTCCAGGCGTGGGGACTTTGTGTTTCCTCTCCCCTTTCCCAAGAGAGGGACCCTCAGACTTTGCCTGAGTCTTGCCAGGTTTGAGAGTGTCTGACCTGACCTTCGCAGAGAATTTTAGAGTTATTACTATTTCTCTTCTGGTGTGGTGCTGTAGGATCAGCACTAGACTGTGAACCACAAGGTCAGTAGTTCAAACTCACCAGCTACTCCTTAGAAACCCTATACGGGGGCACTATGAGTTGGAACCGACTTGACGGCACTTAACAACAACAACAACTATTACTCTAGTCCTGATGTGACCCTGTAGGATAAGCCCAGGACCATAAGATCAGTTTGAACCACAAGGTCTGCGATTGAAACTCACCAGCCACTCTTCAGAAACCCTATACTGGGTCACTATGACTTGGAACCAACTCAATGGCAGTTTAACAACAACAACACTATTACTATGGGGAGCGCAGTGGCTCTGTAGGATAAGCACTGAACTTTGAACCGCAAGGATGCTGGTTTGAGCCCACCAGCCATTCCTTGGGTGAAAGATGAGGCTTTCTGCTTCTGCAAAGATGTACAGTGTTGTTATGAGTCAGAATTGACACAACAGCATTTAACAACAGCAACAACAAAAACTATTACTATTTCTAATAAGAGCAGCTGTAACTCATTGAGGACTTGCCTTGGACCAGGCCCATGGACTTGTTTGCATCTCTACTTCACAAGTGGGGAATTGAGGCCCAGAGGCAAAGCCCAAGGTCACCCAGCTGGGCCTTGAACCCCAATTACTTCCACTGCACAAATGAGCCTGGGCAGGTGATAGCTGAGGGCCTGGCTTTCCCACACTTAAGCTGGGGCAAGGGCCGTGGGAGAGGCCAAGGATCTGGAAAGAGCAGGGCACTGGAAGGGTGCCCTTCCACCCTCACCACCATTGCCCTTACCTGATGGGCTCCTGATAAGGCCCTTTTACGTTATAGCCACGGAGCTGACACTGGGAGCTAGGCTCCCATGAGGGCCCAGGGGTCAGGCTGGGTTGGCGGGAGGGGTGTGCCTTAGTTCTCCAGTGTTGTTGTAGCAGAAATGCCACACGTGAATGGCTTTAACAGACATTTTTGGATTCCGAGTTCCAGCTCTAGGGGTTGGCATTCTCTCTGTTGGCTCTTGAGGAAGCTTTTGCTCCTGAGCCATCCTCATGTGACTTGCCATCTCTCTTCCCCCATCTCTGCTCCGTTTGCTGATTTAATCTCTTATCAAGCAAATCTTGGGGAGGGGCCTCAGAGGACCAGGATTCAGGTGGGCCTCAATATTCCTGTGTGCATATGGTGTTTCTGCTTAGAGAATGTTACCAGGTGGCAGGCCAGTCAGGACTAGGATATCTTGGTCCTTTGACCCAGGACCTGAACGCCTAGTTCATAGAAGATCAGGCATAGAGGTTAGGATTTACAACACATATTTTGGGGGAACATAATTCAATCAATAGGTGGTAATGCCCTCCCCCCAAGAATAGAGAAACCAAATAGTGAGTGACTAGGGGGGCTGGGTAGTCTAGATAGGGAAACTGAGCTCAAGGAGTTCCCTAGTCCAATGGACTTGGGGTGGAGCCCAAAAGGGGAAACTGAGGCCTGGAACACCACACAGAAGGGGATTCAGAGATCCCAGACAGGTACGCAGAGATTTCCCCTCATCTGAGGGACTTAGGGATAGTGACTGGAGGGATGAGAGTCCTAGCCACAGAGAGCTAAGGAAGGAATTCAGAGGGGGAAACTGAGGTTCAGGGCAGGTGCCCTGGAATTCTCGAGGAGTTTGAGTTTGGGGACCTGTGACACAGAGAGAGTGGTGGAGGCAGTGAGGTAGGGGCTGTGGTGTGAGGGAGAGGGTGGAGTGGACGGATAGGCAATCTGAGCCTTGTAGATCTGCTTTCAAATCCTGGCTCTGCTGTACTCCTTGCGTGACAAGTACCTTTACTTCTGTGAGCCTCCTGGAGAGCACACAAAATCACCCACTCAGGATCTCTCTGCAAGATCTACTACTATGTGCCAGGCAGCCTCACCAAGAAGCTCATAGCCCAGACGTTATGGGAAATAGAGATAGACTTTAGGCCGGACAGTGTTGGTCAGGGAAGACCTACCTGAGGGGGTGATTTTCAGGCTGAGATTTGAATGACAAGGAGAAGCCAGATGTGACAAGATCAGGCACAAAGAGTTCCAGGCAAAGGGACCAGCATGTACAAAGACACTGCGGCTGGACTGAGCCTGCCAGAACACAGAGGAGGCCCATGGGATTGGGGGCAGGAAGTGAGGGGCTGGTGTAGACAGCTTAAGATTTATTGCCAACACCTGGTGTGGCACTATGGAATAAAGCACTGGACCACAAAGTTGGTGGTTCAAATCCACCAGCCGCTCCTTGGAAACCCTATACATGGTCGCTAAGAGTTGGAACTGACTCGACAGCACTTAACAACAACTTATTATAAAGTGGGGAAGAGGAGGTAATGACTTGGGATTTACTGGTAACTCTTATAATAAAGCGGGGATAGAAGAGGTGGTGCTGTAGAATAAACAAAGGACTGCTAATCACAAGATCAGTGGTTCAAACCTACCAGCCACTCCTTGGAAACCCTATTCAGGGTTGCTATGTGTCAGACCCGACTCAAGGATACTTAAAAACAACTACAAATGATGATGAAGGGGAGATAGAGGATGTGGTGGTGCCGTGGCTATTCCAGGCGACGCAGTTCCTCTCTCGTGTTGGTTGGGCTTTGAGGTCTGGGTCTCCAGCTATGAATACAGTGAGAGGACGAGCTAAGGTTCCTCCCCACTGAGGGGAACCAGACGGTGGCAGTTAAGGTGCTTTAAGCTAGGGGGTGGTGAGGCCATGAATGGCTCCTCAGTGAACACTCTTGACCTTTGGGCTTCTAAGGTTAAGGACTCTGGGCTGTCTGTCCTCTGCCTCCATGTTTCATTTCTATGCACATACAGTGGGTCAGGTTAGGCTGTGCAGCTGTGACATCTTTTGCTGGCCTCTGGGGTCCTGCCTTTCACCTTGACCTGCTGTGTGAGCCTGGCTGTCTGACCCATTCCCCTCTCTGGACCTCAGTCTTTCCTGTCTGTATCGTTAAAGTGAATTGGGCCCTCTCAACACCCCCTTCTCAACCCCTTTCTTGCACAGGTCTGGGAGCAGTGATCCTTACTGCATTGTAAAGGTGGATGACGAGGTGGTGGCCAGGTGAGGAGTGGGAACCAGAGGTCAAGGGAGAAGGGAGCACCTTTAGAGAGGAGCTGGAGGAGGGTAATGCTTATTTACAGGGGTGTCTGGCCCCTCTGGGGCTGTCACATCCTCTCTCGCTCTGGCCCCACCAACCGGCCAGCCCCCACCCCCAGATCCCCTACCTCCCACCCCCACCCTGCTCTGGACTCCATGATGTCCCTGCTGGCTCCCTGGGGCTGACTCAGCGGGCTGCCAGACCGTGCCGCCCACAGTGGCCTCCCTGGGGGCGGGCAGCTCATGCTTGGTTGGGTTGCCTGGTTCTGAGCTGCGGGCACTGGTGTGTGTGTGTGTGTCTGTGTGTGTGTGTCTGTGTGAGTGTTGATAGGAATCTGTGTGTGTCCCTGTGGGTGTAGCAGAGTGAGACTGTGTGTCCATATGCCCATGATGGCCCCATACACACGTGTAGTCCATGCCTGCTTACTTGGGTAAATAGGTACTGGTGTGAACACATGAAGATATGCTGATGTATGGTGTGTGCGTGAGTGAGAGTTGAGGGGGGCATTGGTTTGGGCTGTGCTTAACTCCCACCCCCGCAGGCCAAGGGACAGCTCTCAGTCCCCGCAGGCCTGAGGTGGGTGGGTGACTGAGCCCTTGGTTCCTATGGAGACAGCAGGCTTCAGGATGCTTCTGGCACTGGTTCTGGCCCAGATGGGCAGGGACCTGGGGACAGGGAGCTTGTAGGGGGAAGGGTCCCCTATTCCCTTATCATTCTCCCTGTACCCACTCTCTGACAGAATCTCCAAAGCTGCAGGTTGATTTTCTGTGTGACCCCAGGCTGCTGTCTCTCCCTTTCTGGGCTGTGAGGAACCTTACAGGTCCCCAGCTGGGGTAATGTTGGGGTGGGGATAAAGGGTGTCTGGGAGGAAATTGTGAGGGTACATCTGAAGGTACAGCCTGTGGGCTGAGTACAGGAGTGTGGGGGTGTACATGCACATGCATGCTTGTCATGGGGGAGAGTGTGGAAAGAAGAAGCAGGTATAAGAACCAAATTTTGCAGCCAGACATTTGGGTGTGTCTTCAGTGCGCAAAGTAAGTTCTTTGTTCCCTTTGGGTAAAGAGAAGTATGTGAGTCAATGCATGTGTATAAATCTTGACTGACTTTCGACCGAATCTTCCAGAGCTTCTAACCACCCTTGTTGTGTGCTGCAAAGCCTTGAGTGTTCTCACATCTCCTAGCTCCCTACTTATTTCTCTTCCTCTTCCCCTTCCTAGTCCTCAGATTCACCCAAAACATTCCTGCCTCATGGCTTCCCACATGCCGCTCTTGCCACCTGGGTTACTTGCCTTCCTCTCTCCACCCTACTTTACCTAACTACCTTCTGCGGGAAGCCTCCCCTGACCTCTCCATTCCCACCCCTTGTTGTTATTGTTAAGTGTTGTCAAATCAGTTCTCACTCATGGTGACCCTGTGTAGGGTTTCTGAGGAGCTGCTGGTGAGTTTGAATGGACAACCTTGTGGTTCAAACAGACCTTTCAGTCCAGTGTATTATCCCAGAGCATCACACTGGACACAGAGAATACCTGTCCCATGATTCCCTAGAACTCAGTTGGTTCCGATGAGTGAGAGTTCATGAAGGAATGAAACCTGTGGAGTTCTGTGGACGTGTGTGTCTGTGGGTCTCTGGATCTGCATGTGAGTGTGTAGGGAAGAGTACCTGTGGGTCGCTCTCTGTGTACACATCTGTATGAATCTAGAAACTTCTGAGAGTGGTATATGTGTGTGGATATGTCTCTTTGTGTCTCTGGAGATGTGCCCTTTTTGTATCTGTGTGTGTCTCTCTGGGCCCTTAGATGTGTATTGGGGCCTCTGGGTGTGTGTAATTGTGTGTGTCTTTGGAGGAGTGTGTTATTGTTCCTGAGAATGTGCATGTGAAAGTGTATTTGTGTGTTTGTGTGTCTATGCCTGGGTTCATGGGTGTGTGTTTGTGCGTGCGACCCTGGGTGGAAATGTGTCAAGATCCAGGGTATGTGAGCACAAGAAGTTCTTGTTCTTGTCCATGTGTGTGTCTGGATTTTTCTCTGTGTGTGTGTGTGCCTGAGTCCCCAAGCATGTGTCTATGTGGTTGGAGGGTCCTCAGCTCTTCTGCCCCCTTTTGTAGGACAGCGACTGTCTGGCGGAGTCTGAGTCCCTTCTGGGGTGAGGAGTACACGGTGCACCTGCCCCTGGACTTCCACCACCTGGCCTTCTACGTGCTGGACGAGGACACCGTTGGGTGTGTGGCGGGGCAGGTGGGGTGTATGTGTTGGAGATCTGAGATCACGTCATTGAGGGGAGACAGGACACAGGATCTCAGTGCCCAACTAGTTAGCCCTTGGCACCTATCCCCACTCCAGCCCCAGGATCCATGTGGGTGGGGCAGAGGTCCCCAGCTGGTGCTCTTACCTGTTTTCTGTCCCATCTGCAGGCATGATGACATCATTGGCAAGATCTTTCTGAGCAGGGAAGCGATTGCTGCTGACCCACGAGGTGGGTGGGGGACTGTGGCTCCCCACCAGGCAAAGGGAGGAAGGGGTGGTCATGCTAGAAACGGAGTGAGCATTTGTGGAGGTACAGCAAGTGTCACGGGGAAGTGCAGAGCTTCACAGGAAATGATTTCTGCTCTTGTTTATGCTTTTCATCTTTAATTATTTTCTTTATTGAATGGTTAATTCATTTACATGGTTCAAAAGTCAAAAGGTGCAATCAGTAGTGAAGTTCTCCTCACCCCAGCTACTCTGGTTCTCTTATCAGTGTTGCTAGTTTTGTATAAGTCCGTCTAGAGATATTTTAAATGGAAACAAGCAAATAACCATCATAATACAGTGAACTCTCATGTGGAACTTACTATATGCTGAATACTTTCTAAGTGCTTTGCATATATCAGCTTGAAAAGTGATCATAATTGCTGGGTGAGGGACGTGATCTTTTGCTTTATAGGTGAACAAACTGAACACAGAGAATTAAATGACTTGCCCAAGACCACAAGTTATTAAATGGTTGGTCTGGGATTTGAACCAAGGTTGTTTAGTTCCAGTCGGTGTTTTTGTGACTGTGCTGTGTGTGTGTGTGTGTGTGTTTTCCTTTTTCTATGAATAGTAAGTAACTTACTGCATTCATTGTTCTGTTCCTTGCTTTTTCACTTAACCTTATGTCTTGGATGCCGTTCCATATTGGTGTCCCCGAGAACTTTCTCATTCTTTGTCTGCCTGCTTGTGGATGTGCCAGCATGCATTTGTCTAGTTCCTTATTAATGAGCACTTGCATTGTTCACAGCCTTTTTCTGGTTCAAACAATGCTTCAATGCACGTGATTTCATATAAACATGTGTTTTAACAGGTAAAGTTCAAAAAGTGAATTTGCTAGATTAAAGTGTACCCATATTTGCACATTTGAGGGTGTTGTTGTCAGTGGTTTAAGTTGGTTTTGACTCATAGAAACTCTGTATACGGTTTCCAAGGAGCCACTGGTGCGTTTGAGCTGTCAACCATGCAGTTAGCAGTCCAGTGCTTACCTTACAGTGCCACACGTTTGATTGTTATGGTTGCTGTTAAGTGCTGTTAAGACTGTTCCAACTCAATAGTGACCTCGTATAGTTGTTTCTGAGGAGTAGCTGATGGCTTTGAACTGCTGATCCTGTGGTTCACTGTACAGTGCTGATCTGACAACACCACACCAGAAGTTCATTCTCCATAAGAGGAGGTACCAATTTACTCATCCTAAACCTTGCCAACAATTTTAATCATATTTGAAAGGTGAAAATTTTACCCTTGAGTCTAGGTTTATTTTGCACGTCTCTTTGAATAAGCTTGAAAGTCTTTTTAAAAATATATTTAAGTGCCACTTAGGAGTTCTGGTGTGATACTGTGGATAAAGCACTGAACCTCAAGGTCAGTTTGAATCACAAGGTTGGTGGTTCAAACTTACCAGCTGCTCCTTGGAAACCATATGCTTAACAACTTAACAACAGCAACAAGAATCACATTATTTTCATTTCTGCCTATTATCAATTTGTATTATATGTGCATTTTCCCCCATTGGGTTGTTTGACTTTTCTTATTTATTAGTAGACGCTTTTTACATATTAGGGAAATAAACACTTTGTGATATTGTCTACACATATTTTATCTTTCTTTGCCTTATATTTTGACTTTGTATGTAATTTTTCCAAGTATAATCTTAGTCTTTTCTATAGTTATCTTCTTTATATATATATGTTGTTGTTGTTAAGTGCCGTCGAGTCGGTTCCGACCCATAGCGACCCTGTACAGGGTTTCCGAGGGTGTAAATCTTTACCGGAGTAGAAAGCCTCATCTTTCTCCCGCGGAGCAGCTGGTAGTTTCGAACCGCTGACCTTAAGGTTTGCAGCCCGATTTGTAACCACTACGCTACCAGAG